TCCATTCATTGGTTGATGGACATTTGGGTTGTTTTTACCTCTTGCCTGTTTTTGTGCAGACATATGCTTTAATTTCTCTTGGGGTAGATACCTGGGCGTGGAGTTACTAGGTTGTATGGTGATTCCATGCTTAATTTTTTGAGAAACCAGCAAACTGTTTTCCATTTTCCATTCTTGCTAGCAGTGTATGAGGGTTCCAATTTCTCTGCATCCTTGTTAACACTTGTCATGATCTTTTTGATGACAGCCATCCTAGTGCGTGTGGTTTTGATTTGCCTTTTTTGAATGGCTAATGACGTTGAGTATCTTTTCATGTGCTTATTGGCCATTTGTGTATCTTCTTTGGAGGACTATTCAAACTTCTAACCTATTTTGAAATTGGGTTATCTTTTTATTATTTGAGTTATAAGAGCTCTTTATAGATTCTAGCTACAAATACCTTATCAGATATATGATTTACGGATATTTTCTCCCATTGCCTGAGGGGTTTTTTTGTTTGTTTTGTTTTGTTTTGTTTACTTTCTTGATGGTATCTCTTGCATCCTATGGGTTATTGAGTCCCATAGATGACTCTAGTGGAGGGAAAGAGGAAAAAAAACAGGGAGAGAGGTCTTTCCAACAGATATGGGGATTTTATCCCTCTGAGCTTGAAAAACAGATGTCTGTCCACGTGAGAGAAAGAAGGGCAGACTCCGGACAGAGGAGGAAGGCTTGGAACCAGAGTGTGCCAACAAAGAGTCACCTGTGAAGGGTTTATTTTTCCTCTTGGATACTGGAAGATTGATGGTACAATTTCATTTTTCTCCTCCTATATTTAATTCTCTCTGTTATCTCAAACTCTTCAATAAAGCCTGAACAGCTTTGTGTGGTGGTTAAAGGTGGGTGATTAAGGACCAAGTGAAAACCAAGAATGATCTGACCGATAGCTTCTTGCTGAGGCCACCCAGGGTACCTGTCTTCCTAAAGCTACTGGAAGTGATACCTACTCCTCTTCCAGAACACAACTCAAGTGTCATGTCTTCAGAGAAGGATTCCTGACCACGTCCGCCTTTATACTCTCTCATTGCCCCTCTTCGACTCTCATGCAAAGCACACCCTGCTGTTTGTATCAGGATGGCCACGACTGAGAAATTTCTGTTTTCCCTTTTCCTACCCCATTCGATAGCTCTCTGAAGGCAGGGCTTTCCCCCAATTCTTAACACAATATTTGGCACACAACAGGAGCTTAATAAGTATTTGCTTTACGCCCGGAAACCCTAAACTTACATCCACCAGCTCAACAACTCTCTAGAAAGGAGAGATTCTCCTTTTTATGGTTGCTGTCAAAGGTCCAGATTAGTATCTCATTGACTTGGCTTGGGTCACATGCCCATCCGAGAACCAGTGAATAAGGCAGAAAGGATGGAATATGCTGATTAGCCAGGTCTGGTCATGGGTCCACGCAGACCTGGAGAGTGGGAAGGGCTATTCTCATGAACTGAGAATAAGGCGGACTGGTTCCCTTGAGGTAGGAAGCCCCATAAAAAGATCAGCAGGATACCCAGGCTGGGCCACTACTCTCCTGCCAGCACCATCCGTTTCTCTGGTGCTGAGGCTCTATCTCACTTTTTGCTTCTAAAACGGCTTACTTACCCCTATACTTCTATTGATTCCCTGAACTCACTCCTGATTGGTTATTTTTCTCACTCCCGATTGGT